TCATCTGTGAATAGTTTCTGAAAGTTTCATTAACATCTGACAATTATTTTTATTTTTGCAAGATTTTCCAAATTAATGTGTGTAAAACAAAAAAACGCGCTAAAAATTATCTATGTTATTTACTACCCCTTGTTACAACAAAAGAAACAAGGTTTTTAAATCAAAATTTAGAATATTCTAAAAGATGGAAAAATTTTTAAAAATAATTAAAAAAAAATTTAGTCTATCCTCTTCATAAAAACATAAGCATTTTGACGATAAAATTTTGTTTTCATAAACTTTGGCGTCTTTTTCATCAGACTATGCTCTATGTTTTAGAGATTCCGTGGAGTGACTTAGGTTAAGAACCCAGGTTGTTTGTTTGTTTGGGTGTGTGTGTGTGTGTTCCTTTATATATGGGATCGGATTTCTTACATTTTTCAGCCGATAAAACAAACATCCACTTTTTGGGGGGTGGGGGGCAGGTAGTATTTCTTATTGTCTTGCACACTTTTTTCTTTATTTATACATTCAGAATTCTTTAAAAATTCCATTTACAAGACAATTGTTTATAATAAAATTCTATTCACCAATCGATAGACTCATAACGATTGCAAACAATGTTTTTGTTTGAATTTGGGTTTGACCAATTCGTAAAAAAAAAAAAAACTAATTTAGACATGCGTGTCCGTCAACCTTAAACAATAATCTTTATCAATTTTATTTTTCAGTCTTTATGATGGTCGATACTTGATCTATCTCTTACTGTTATATCCCCGGGCAATGCCGGGCTCTACTGCTAGTAATATATAAATTTTATATCCACCCAAAAAAAAGGAAAACCTTTTAAGCTGAATATTATTTTCATTAACAGTTTTGGCATCAAATGACCTAAAAAGGATTGACTTGCCTTAAAACCAAACGATCAAAGTGTCATGCCTGAATCACTTTCACCTTGGTTGTTTTTATGCATTTTCTTAAAAAAAATTTTTTTTTAAATTGAATTCATATCATAAAAAAAAATTTAGTTCTTTAAATTTCACATTCTCACATTTTTCTGTAAAAAAGTTAGAATAAGTTTAAATATCTAATTACACCTCACTCTTTATCCAGTTTAGTTTAGGGGTGTAAATAATTTTCTATGTGATTGTTGCACTTGAAATTAAGATATTTTTGCATTGATTTGATTTTTCTGCCTTTAGCAAAATCCTTATTTACATGATTTTTTAAATTATAATGGGATCTTGGGATAGAATGATCATAACACTACAAAACAATATCAAATTTATTAAAATTTGACAATCCAAAGAAAAGTTATTAGCTTTAAGGTTTCCTCTCCCCCTAAGTCCAGATGTCTTTTTTTTGTTTGGGGTGGAGGGGTTACAAATGGGTGTTTCTAGTATAGTATGAATGAGTTTACTGATATTTAACATTTGCTTCAGGTGTACCACAGGACTCTGGGCTACAAGAAAATACCAAGGAAGTTTGTTTGAGTATGTGGTGGTGGAGGGGTGATGGAATTCCTGAATAGCTACTATGATTCATATCACAACCGAGATAGACTTAAATCTATTTTATAGTAATCCCTCTTAGCCTATAGCAAGAAGTTACCAGACATTAACTACTGAAATAAAACTTATATGAGCAGTCAGAATTGTCCTTCTGTGTCATTTTTCCTTAATGTTTAACATTTGAATCTAATTATTTTTGATTCCATTAGTATTATCTTTCTTTTACTGCATTAAATTTATAATGATTTTTAATTTGTTTGAAGTATGCACTGTTAAAATTGGCTTTTAGCTCAACAACATGAGATGGAAAATTTACTGACCTACTTGAAATTGTCATAACTTAGTTGCTAATTGAGCTACCAATATAAATTTGGTATCATTTTTTTATGTTTTGTCAATGCATGTATGAAAATAAAACTTTAGATTGGGATACCTCATAATACACATTTTAAGTGATGGCTAAGAGTGTTAATAGAATTCTGTTCAAAGGTAATTGTGTTTGTGTAAATAATATAAAATACGGAAAACAATACTTGATATAAATATCACTGCTATTGTTGGCTAAAAGCAACCTTGCACTTAAAAGATCAACCAATCAAAAGGTCAGACTACTAAATTGGACATCCTAGCATTTTCTGGTCACTCTAAAGTTACCACTTTTTCAGGACAAAAATGGAAACTATGGAATAACTATTATTTTTTTTAGTAGAATTTCAACCATGGGAGGTTCACTTGTTGTACTGGTATTCTTCAGTGATCACTCTAATATGACTGTATAGACACTGGAAATTCTGGAGCCATAATCTTTCTCATTTGATTCTAAACCAAGTATATCCAATAAAATAGCTAGTAGAATTATTGGTACTTTAGTTTCTAGTTTTACTCATGAAGGATTACATTTCATCTGGTTAATGTGCTATATCCATGTCATATCACCATCACCAACCTGTATCACATAAGGTAATGGATGTTTATGATGTGATATGTCAGTATTGCCCTCTAATGCTAAGGACCATGAAGTGAGTCTATTTCTTTGTTTATTGAAACTTGAAATGACAAGATATGCACTAAATCTTAGATTGTCTCTGCTTGGAGTTTTTGTTCTTTGAAATTATAAAATTTGTACCTTTTCTGAACACACACATTTCATAGAAGATTTGGTTAAGGATATATGCTGGTAGCTCTTCCTCTCTGGTTTTCGATAAAAATTTGTTTGAAAGTTATTATCTCCACCTGACCATCTTAATATAGAGGTGAGTGGAGATGTGTAAGTGTTATTCATAAAACTATAAATGTAGCTAAAGGCAATTTTGATCAATGATGAAAGATAGTAATTACTGGGGTTCATTTTGTTCAGGGAAAAAATGGTTAATTTGTGCATGTGTTTACCAAAATCAGAAACCCTTTTTTTTTTTTTTTTTTTTTTTTCCAGCTACAAGCATTTGGTCACATGCACAGAGTTGTTTTTTTTTTCCAGCTACAAGCATTTGGTCACATGCACAGAGTTGTTTTTTTTTTCCAGCTACAAGCATTTGGTCACATGCACAGAGTTGTTTTTTTTTTTTCCAGCTACAAGCATTTGGTCACATGCACAGAGTTGTTTTTTTTTTTCCAGCTACAAGCATTTGGTCACATGCACAGGGTTGTTTTTTTCTGATTTGTCTGGAAAGTCTGAAAGATCATTTATGATTGCCTAGTTTGAAGTATGCCTGGGATATTTAGTGATTGATTGAAATGAGTCAACAGCAGTTTTGTGGGGAATGCTGATTGACCAGTGATCAGACACCATTTTCACTTAGAATTATCTTGAGCAAATATGATTGTGAGAACCCTTCAAAGTGCAGGCAAGAGTGCATTGAAATAAAAAATAAAAAGGTTTGAAAATACAGCTATGTAACTGAGGGTAAAGTTATTTTCTCTAATCACTTTATTGTCAGCATGATTCAGTTAATGTCAATTTTTGTCAAAGATGAATCCCAAGTACTTGACTGGAAATTATGATTATTAATGTATAGGAAAATTAATAAGTCCACAACCTAATGATGAAAAAAATATGGATTTTACACAACATTCATTTTTCAACAGATTTTCCTTTTGGTCAATAATTTATTAGTGAATATTAATCACATAGACATTTTCAGTGTAGACAGTAGCAAGCAAAAAAAATGAGCAACCTAGATAAAAAAAAAAAAAAAAATCAAGTTACTTAATTTTTGTTAAGAAGCTGTAAATATTCAACAATGTACTTTCAAGAATAGTATCTGTGATTGACTGTAATGCAAGTTGTATTCATGTGCACACATTATGAGAGGATATACACACGTGAATGCAATGTAATACTGAAAATAAAGCAGACAAAATAAGTATGCTGTTGTTGTAGGTGTTCTGGATATAAAAAAGATTAGACAAAAATTTCAAAATTAGGCAAAAATGATTAAAGAGAAGCTAGTGAGCTTATCGGTATCCAACCTGAAATTAACAGCTCAAGTAATGGATTAAAGCCACATTACTAAGGAAATGTCCATTCATACAGTAAGAAGTAAGTTACCTAAATGGATGGATTGCAGCAAAATATCTAAAAAAAACTTTGAATAAAATGAAAATACTGGGCAAAAGAATGGATAACGGAAATTGGGCAAAAGAATTTATAGTGATGAAGGCAAAATAGATCTAATAGTTCTAATGCAAAAGATTATTTTTGAACACCAATTAATGCAAGAAACAATCTAAAATGGGCAACAAAGCAAAATTCAATGGTGTGGGGGGATTTGTTTGAGGCTACATCAAAACAATGATACAAAAAATTGATAAAAATTAATGGAACACTGAAAAGCGATATATATCTTACTTTACTAAAGGTCTAATTATTACTAGAAATAGCAAGAGGTGAAATATTCCAACCTGACTGAACACCTTGCCATACATCCTGTGTAACAATCAAGTTTCTTACTAATGTAGTATTACAAGATTGGCCTGCCCAAAGCCCTGACCTTAATATAACCAAACCTGTATAGAGAGAGTTGAAAATAAAGAACTTGCAAGAGCTTTGGGTTTACTGTCAAGAGGAATGGCAGAACATTCCTGATGAAACAATATTTAAGTTGAATCCCTCCATCCGGTTGAGGCTGTAGTTCATGCCAATAGGAGCTATGCTGATTATGAATGTTAATGCCCCTAAATATTTCTTATTACTATAAATGTTATTTTTAGTGGGCACATGTGTTTGACCTGATTTTTTTGGCCAATGTTTAAGGGGTACAATAATGTGAGTAAACATTAACAAGTTCCATAATAGGTTTATTGTTTCTTAAAATGATTTTATACAAATATGTTATCAGAATGTTTTTTCATTTTTGATTGATAGAAATTATTACTGATAACAGGGAATATATTTTCATTTTTAATATTTTACTATTTTATATCCTTTAATATTTTTGTTAAATTTGTCATCAATAACAGAAATGATTTTATCTAAAAATTTAGATTAAATAACAAACCTTTTTATTGCAGAGAAAGGGTTTTCTAGTGTTGCATCCAACAAGTGTTTTTTTTAGCCAACCTGATCTTCTGCAGTTACCTGATAATGATATGACTGAAATTGCTGGCCACAAAGGTATAATGAGTTCTAAGCATGAATTATTAGCTTATGTGTAAGTATAAACAGTTATCTTATTTTGCTTTGAAATCACTTGTATATGACTCTTTATCCTTTGATTCTAAGTTATCATTAAGCTTTTCATTCATTTCTACTCTACATTTTTATTACTGTTGTTAACAATTTAAAACAGAAAATTTAAAATATCACATTACATTTAGATTGGTGTTGCCTTGGTCAAAATAAATTTTAAGATCCTTATTTTTCAATTTTCTGCTATGAGTCAAAAAGAAATGTTGTTTGAATATTGTATTTGTGTATTTTTTTTTTTTTTTTTTACAAAAGAATATTCTGGAAGTATGTGAAACTTAATGGATAAACAATAGGGACACCACAAATGATGGACACACAATCCTATATCCAGGCAAAGAGAGAAATGAAAGAGGAGTAGGTGTAATATTAATATAAGACTAATAGGTAACATGTTATTGGATACTGTCAATGAAAAAGGAGTTTGATAAGGATGCCAGATCTCACCAGATCTAATTAATGTAAACTGAAGGAAATATCCTAAGAGAACTAGATGACCTACCAGAATTTATTATTGGAAGACATAATCTTAACAACATAAGATACACAAATGACACTGTTGAGGAAGGAAAACTGAAAGAACTCTTAGATAAGTTAGTAAAGGAAAACAAGCAGAAAAGACTATTACCTGTAAGAAGATAGAATGCATGGTTGTTAGTAAAAAAAGATAACCCAAAACAATGAGCTATGTACTAGGGACATCAAAAATCAAGCAGGTATAGAAATTTAACTACCTGGGTAGTATAGTAATGCAAGATGCATAGGAGTAGTGAAAATGCCTTTCAGAAACTAAGCAAAGTATTAAGAGATAGGAAAATTTTTAAAGTCTTGAATTGCTGTGCTATATTTAATCTTTTATAAGGCAATAGTTGCTGGACAGTCTTTAACACTGGGGAATAAGAGACTGGAAAGAACATAGATGCATCCTTTCCTCAAACATGCCTCTTACTCTGTAACCCCTGCATGCTAGTAGAACTCCTGCCTTGCTTGGGGTGAATTGCTTTAAAAAAAATGCGATCTATCAAAGAATAATTAGAATATCATAGTCAGAACATTCAAACAGTGAATAAATTATAAGGAAAATGGGAACTACAAAGAAACTCATACTTGCAATCAAAAAAGGACATCTGAAATTTCTGTGAAACATGCGGAAAGAAAACTGGGAGAATCTAACACAGGACACATTAAAGATAAGAAAAGCAAGGGAGAAACAGTGAGTAGCTTACTTAACAAGTTTGTGTGAATGGATAGCCAGACAAAGATGGATTTGTCAAATGTTATTTAAAGTAGCAAAAGATAGAAAGTTGTGGAAAACCATGATCGCTCATATCCTGAAGGAAGATAACACATAAAAGAAGCAGAAGGTCTAGAAATTTACAATTTCCTCCAGTAAATAATACAAATGCTAAAGAGATCTAAATAATATATTCCAGTGCAAAATAACAAGATTTATATATGAAACTGATGCATTTACTTCTCTATGAAATGCACTTTGTACTAAAAAAAGGATCCAAATATGATATTATATTTGTATTATAGATAGGAAATTAAGTACTGAAAGACAAAGCTTAGGGATGATAATGAATAGTAGTAAACAATTATCTATGAAATGTCCTTGTAAAAATGTTAAATAAATTGTATAGATTTTTTATACAGGCAATATTGTTCTGTTTTAGGTGAAGTAATTTAGATTTCTTTTTAAATAAAGCTTAATATTCATTCATGCAAAAAACAATATTATCGCACATTTTTGATTGAATTCTAAAATTATCTTCTGTTTTTTTTTTTACAAAACCTGTATGTATGCATACCTATAGATTATTATGTTATAAAAAGAGAAATTTTTTTCTTCCAGATCAATTCTTGAAACCAATAAGCCTTACCTGATCAATTCAGTAAGAGTACCAGCAATGGAGACACTATTATTGTTCAGCAATACAATTGATACAAATAGAAATTGTTCAAGGCCAGTATTTTGTGAACATTAATTGGTTATAAGTGGAAATCTATTATTAATACCACATTTTAGGGTAGGTGGATGGCTTGGGTCAGATCTTTCCAAACTGGTGTGTCATGAAACATTAATTACTTCTTTCTTTATTTATTAACTAAATTTTCCATAGATTTTTTAAAGTTTTGAATAGTTTTCTTAGCCAAGCAAAATATATATGTAAAACTAATGTGTGACAAAAAAAATAAAATGGTACCAAAAATTCTCAGTAGATGAAATCATGCCTCTTTATTTCATTTAATATTCTAATGCATATTAAGTGAAAATTCTTTGTGAGAAGATTTCTGTTAGTCCAATAGAATAAACAGGTTAAATTAGGAAAACATCTTCACAGCTAAATTTGAATGGGAAAAAGTCACAACCCCAGAAAGCACTCAATAGTCTTAGTTTGAGTGGCTTCAGCAAAAATATAACATTTGTGTAATTTTTTTCATTTATAAGCAATTGACACTTGATCAATAAAGGTTGATATTTTTAAATTCTGTTCCTGAGAAAATGAAAAGATTAAAATCTAAAGTTGGAGGATTGTGATGAGAATTGTTTATTTTTCATCACTAGCTGCAATTACCTTTGGATGGAGGATTTTATTTTACTTGAATTAATGTATCCCCAGAGAGTATAATTAAAGAATAAATGGAATAAAGAAGATAAAAGAGAAAACAGTTTACTTAAATTTAACAACTTGTCTATAAATTTTATTTTTCAGTTTTGATTGAATCATGCTTATTTTCTGGTTAATTGTGGTGGAAATTTCAAATTCTATTTTTTTTACTTTCAGATGTCTATTACTTCTAATGTAATATTTAAGTCTAAGCATGATTTAGAAAAATAAATTATTTTTAGATTTACACCCTTTCAACCATAAAAACTAAATTTGATTTTTTATATTTATTTTTATATATATATATATATATATATATATATATATATAATGTAAGTATTTAAGTTATTCATAGAATATTTTTTCTTTTGCAGGATGGTTTGTGATGGTTGGTTAGAGTTGACATTTGCTCATGCTGATGAAGGTGAGCAAGTTTTAATCAGTGCCATTCTTCTTCGGTCACTCTGGCAGAATTTGATTACATCAAGGCTTCAAGGTAAAATGTAATAAGTTTATTTTCTTTATCTTAGTGGACTAAAATGATGATGTTCTAACAGGATTCTTAACGTATTTATGACATCTCATAAAGAGGAACAAATCCTTTTAGTTTCATTATCTTTAATTTATTGAGATATTTCTACAAATTAAATAAATTGTAGCTATGTTTCTAAACTCATAAAAAGAAACCTGAAAAAAATATTTTTTTAATATAATCAAACTTGCTTATCTATTTGATATATCTATAAAATATATATCTGCCATGTTTTTAATGGATGTCAGTTATCAGTTCTCCACTGCCTTAACTGGGTATTGAACTCACACTCTTTGGATCTAACCAACATTATTATAAATCTAATGTCATCAGCAACGATTTTTTACCAGTGCTCATATTGCAATTTTTGCTGTTATCACACCATGTTTTTACCAGAGCTCATATTGCAATTTTTGTTTGTTGTTATCGCTTTTCTCTGACATTCCTTATTACTGGTTCCCATATTGTATTCATTTCTATGCTTGGTCAGCTCAGGAGATTTTTGTGGCCTAGCATATGTGCTGATTCCTTAAGTTTTCCAATTTTCGAATTTTGTTATTCTGGTTGTGATTTGTTGTATTGTTTATTGTTTCAACCCATTTTTTCTATTCTTTTTTTTCAACTATATTCTAGAAAAATCTCATCAGCGTAGACAAAATTCTGACCAAAGTAACAGTAAACTTGAACATGATCTTACTGAGAAACTGGCTGAATTTATTAACAGTAAAATAGTTTATTCTATCCGTAGAATAATGACTGCCGAACTAAAACATCTTTATGTTGGACAATTGAGCGGTAAGTAGATTAAAATTGCATATATGTTGAATCTAAATACTTACCTTATTATTCCAAAAGAAATAAATAAACACTTGAGGCACTGAATTTTATCAAAATATTGGCGGGGAGACCAAACAGTTAATGTTTTCATTGTTAGGTAACATTTAGACTAGACATGTAGCAGTAAGTGACTTTATTTAAAAAGACAGTTGTATTTTGAGAACTATTAAATCAGAGGACCTTAAAAATAATTGTCAAAATTAGCATAGTTTTGTTTTATTGTTTTTAACTTTGAAGATGAAAGAAAATAAATAAGATTTTCAACATATACCTTATTATTTTCAGCAAGTTTAAAATATGATTCAAACCCCAAAAAATGATTTGTGCAGTGTACTACACAAAAATGGAACATAATAAATTTTTGAAAAAAAATGGAATTCTAATGTTCACTTATGATATAAATATCACTAAAAAAAAATCTCATACCCTTATAGTCAAAAAGCAAATAAAATTTCATTTACACAACAACAATTTTAATAATAAAAACCATAGTTATAAACATAATTTTGACAATAACACGATTACCATATATTAGCAAAGCCAAATGCACCATAGTTGCAAAAAATGATTAAACAGCAATAAAAAATATCATACATAGATATATAAAACCAGTCACTAAAAATAAATACATCAGATTCATTATTTACTTCAAAAAATTAAAACCTAGCAACTTACTTATTAAAAATACTATATCCCAAACTTCTAACCCCCTATATAAGACCACTGTTTGTGTATGAATGAACTTGCCCACTCAGAGAATGTTGCTCTGTAAATAAAAACCACAAAACATATTACATAGGCTATATTACAACTACACTCTCATGAAGATTCACCTCCTCTCCCCATTGAATCATAGTGCTACCAGACAATACATTAATAAGTGGTATAACGATAATAGTAACATTAGCCAGCTACTCACAAACAATACCAAAATAGTAACAAAAGCAAATAGTATAAACAGACTTAGGATTTTTGATGAAATACTCATACAACAAAAGCAACCATCAGTAAATAAAAACAATAACTTAAGATTTAAAAAAACAACACACATCAAATTTGAAAAAAAACAACATACGTCATAGCACTCTTTACAGCTTATGACCATATCAAGTTGTTACACCGGTTCTCATACATTCACTGAAGTTAAGCAACATTGACTCTGGTCAGTACTTAGATGGGTGACCACTTGAAAATACTAGGTGCTGTAAATCTGGATGTGTGGATAATGTAATGGATAATGGCTCAGAATTGTTAATCAGAGAGCTGAGTTCCAATTCCAGTTGGGTTCATTATTTGCATTTATGCACAAATGCTCATTGAAATGGTATGAATCTAACTCTTCTCCCTCAGCTATGGGTTAATTAGTAAAATTTGTATCACTAAAGCCCTTATTACCTCCTCCCCACCTCAAAAAAATAAATAAATGTTAAAAATATTTAGATTTTGGCATTAAATAACCCATTGACATGCCACTAAAAAAATAACCAACAACACAACACTTAATTCTATGAAACTCACCATTTATCTATACCTACCCTGATGATGACTTAAGAAAGTTGAAAGTTTGGACCATATTTCTTGTACTTTCCTTCTGAAATGAACTTCAGATGATTTCTGATGGAATTTCCTGCCTGAGAAGGATTATTCGTAATTTGGAAAAGTCAATCAATAAAATTAGTTGACACAAAATATATGTTGTTTTTAATAATATTTGTCTTAAAAAACATTTGCTGCATAAATACACAGGAAAAAAAAAGATTTCTACAGTGTACTTGTGTAGAGGAAATGAGATGTAGACTAAGCTACATGTCCCCGTCAGTGAAAAATATGACATTTAGTGTGCTGTCACTGCAGAAAGAAAGCAAATGGCTGCCCCGCCAGAACAGAGCCAGTGTGAACCACAGGAAGTCTGGTTATGAAGAAAGAGTGTATCTACCATCTTCTCCATGAAATGATTCCTTTTGCTAGCCAACTGAGTTTTGAGCTCAATAAAAGCAGGCATGTTTTCTGGGAGGAGGCAGATGGGAAGAGCACTGTGCTGAAAATATAATGTGATTGCCATGTGTTACTGAGGATTTCTGTTTGTTACCTGGTGTCAACTGAAATTTGTTCATCCTTTTTAGTGTTTCCAGTGTCTCTGCTACGTTTCTCCCTTATGTGTGGTGTTCCTGAGTGGAAGTCTTGTTCATGCCCTGCTCATTATGTTTGGCTCCTTTAGTGTTTGATTCTGGTGCTGCTAATTTGTCCAGATACCCAAACAATAAGAAGAAAATCCTTCAGCTACACAAAAAAGATTTGTATAGTGTACTACTGTGTAGAACTGAACACATCAAAAATGATTGGTGATTTTTCATGTTGGAAATTTCTCACTGAATGATGCTGTAAAATCAGATAAACCAGTTGAAGCTGATAGTCATCTGTTATATTCCATGCTAATAAATAAGAATAAAGGTAACAGTTATGCACAAGGTCGTCGCAAGTCAATTCAGTAGTGAGTGCTACTATTGGAAGGTCGGTAGTTCTCGCATAAGTCTGATTCGTACTCAACAGATCCCAGCTAGTCTCTGTAGTCCGTTGACTTACAGATACTTATAGGTAGATACTACCTATAGTGTAGTCACTCATGGGGGTGGCAGGTTATTCCATTACATCATTATCAAATCAGAATACTACTTGAGGCAACATAATAAGAATTATGACATAGTCAATGTGCTCAGAATTACCGAATCAAACATTGTAAATTGTATTTAAATGTTGTTTTCGAAATGGTTTTTGAATTGTATTTAAATGTTATGCTTTCAAAATGGTTTTTGTGAATACTTTATAACAAAATGATATGCAAGCTGTTAACAAAATAAACCACCACTAACCATACCAGCAATTAGTTTTCATCCAAAAATAGTGATGTCAAGTGATAATGTGATTGAAAAGGATTCTTCTACTATAAACTCCTTCTGAAGAAGAAAATGATTGATTTGGACAGGTTCTGCTCCCTGTTAGACCAAATGAAGGTAGTAATTATTGAAAAGAATCCAGAACTAGTTAAAGAGAATAGTATCTTTCAGAATAATGATAGACTACAAGTTTATTTGGTGAGCAGGTAAAACTTATCTGAGTTTGGTTGGGGAGTTTTAATCCATCAACCATATTCCTCAGATATTGCAGATTTGGATGACCAGAACTACCTAAATAAAAAAAAAAATAATTCCCTACAAAAAACACCTACAATAGGTCTTTACTATAATAAAAAAATTCTGGCAGGATGGAATTATGTAATTGCCTTAAAGATTGAAAAATAGTGAAAAAAAAAATTTATGTTTTTCAATAAAGTTATTTTAAAAATTTTAACTTAAGTGAATAAATCTTTTTATTATCCATTATTCCAATACCCTCGATTTGTTTTTAAAGTAGTTAAGCAAAAGAAAAAAATCTGAAACTATTTTTTAGATAAAAATCTACCAAAATTTTGATTTTTACATGTGTTTTAAAAATTTTGCATTTTTTTAGTTTCATATCTAAATTATCAAATTTTTTACTCAAAATAAATTTGCATATTAAACTTTGGAAAAAGAAAAGAATATTTCTATTTTCACTCTTCTTTTAATTATATTTTTTCTTTCAAAGAGAAACCATTTTGGAAACTTCTCACTTTCACTTTCCATAGTAAAAAAAAAAAAAAATTACAACAAAACTCATTAAAATTTGTAATGGATCTGCTCGCAACATCAACTGAGCAGCAACAATGTTAAAGGCCAAATTGTACATGAGTACAATGCCTCTTTACTTTGTAATCTCTTTAGGCCTCTGTTATCATACTTTTATATTCATGTAACAATTGAAATGATACAATTTTTTTTTTTTTTTTTTAATAATGGAAGTAATGACACTGTAATTATAGTATTACCATCAGAGCAATTCAAAATTTGCTTCTAATGTATGGACAAAAGAAGGCCACCAAAAATTAACCTTCATCATAAAAAATACATGCCACTAAATTCCTCATTGATGCAACATTCTTTTTATCCAGCCTATTTTGTTAGGCTTACTATGAATATAAAAAATATCAAAAAGATTTACATTGAAAAAAAAAAATTTTTAACAATCTAAGTAAATTTCAGCTCTCTGTAGTTTGTGGGGAAAGGATGAAGGCAATAATATAATTACTGAAACCTGAACCTTGCTACCCTGTGTGCAAAGCTCCTGGACCAAGGAGTGGTAGAGTGGGGTCAATTGAAGATGAAGGAAAAGGCAAAGAAAAACAGGTGTTTTTTTTCTACTACAAAAAATTGTTTTGATAAACATGATTTTTTAACCAATGGCTACTCAAGTCAGTTGAAATCTGAAATAAAATCACTAAAATATGATCATCATGAGGAGTGGGAGACACGATGCTAGGAGTTAGAGATGCGACACCTCCCAAAACATCTGAAACCCTGACTCAAAGAAACAGCTGCAAAACCTACTCCTCAACAAAGAATTGACAACAAAATAGTCATTTCCATAACAGAAAATAAGTACAGTTCTCAAAACAACTCTCTACATTGAAGACTCAGAAAGCATGAACAGATTCTGTCACAAACTTTGACAACTCACATTAAATCACCAGAACTATTAAAGACCATTCGCATTTTATACCTTCAAGGTTTGACCACACTGAAACCCTTTTATTGTACCTTCTTTCTTGTGTAAAGATACAGGTGTTTATCTCCCTTTGGCGAAGATAAGTCATATGGATCACGTGACAGCCGCTTAGTGACATCATTCCATACAGTGACAAAAGTGGCAGCAAATTCTGTTCGTTTTACAGCAGCCACCACTTGAGGTTGCTTTCTTTTAGATGAGGATAAATCTAACTCCCACAGTAGCTTATAAGTCCATGCTGCCATTTCCCTTTGGGAATATATCTTTCCTGGATATAGAATGAAACTCCAGCTCACATTCCTCAATTTGGGAAAAACCAAGACTCACTGTTTCCCATTTGGTGGAATATGTCCTTGCCTGCGACATAGATGAATCTGGCCTGTTTGAATCTGGAGTTTTAAACATGACTTCTTCGAACATAGGAGTTTCTTCCTTTTTGTTTCTTCTTACACACTGTTTTACTGTGTAGATATATGATATATTATTCTCCCAATTTTTCCAAAGAAACCAATTCCTTCAGAGATACGTGAGCAGTCTGACAAACTTATTTCAGCATTTGATAATTTTAATATGAAAAATTATAGGAGGCCATTCAAATGTTTCTGTTCAGGTGTGGATCATTCGAGCATTCATTGTCTCAAATTTGCATTCTGGGAATCTCAATTAGCTAGATGTAAAGAGAAGAACCTATGCTCACTTTGCTTTAGACATTGAATATAAAGCAAACAGGGATGAATTACCATATAACTATAAATTTTGTTGTCCAAGAGGAACTTTACATCCCACCAACCAGAAAAATGACTAAGGACTAAGAGGCATTTTAAGGAAAACACCAAAGGAGAAAATTTGATTTTACTGCTAGCAAGCCTAGAAATAATTAAAAGAAAGAGAGTTTTAGGGTTAATTATAGACACAAGCAGCCAAAAATCATATTTTCCACAAGATATATTACATAAAGTTAAGGGCAGAAATTGTCATGTCTCTCTCACTGATTTTCAAGCGCTTTTTTAGGTTCCTGACTTAAAAAATTTAGTGAATATTTGATACAAAAGTTAATATGGGAATTTGTTCTGTTCTTGTTTTAATAGATGATGATTTTAATACTGATTTCAATGTTCAAGATAGCGAAAAATTTAGAAAATCTGAATTATAGGTTAGCTACAGATTATATTAAGTACAACAAACCTACGCCTGTGCATGGTCTGTTAGGAGTTGATATAATATAATTTATGGGTCCTCTACACAAGATTAATTGTATGCTAGGTTCTGCTTGGGTTACCCTTGATGGGATAATCCCTTTTGGGGATATAACTAATTTCTTTTAACCCAACTCAACTGAATTATTTGGGAGTCCATTCAATACGAGCTAATTTTGACACAAACATTTCCCAATATTCTGCTTATCCTTATACACAAATAAATTTGGTTTTCGAACCCAAAAAGGGACATGTAGACCTCTTTGCTGAGAGTTTCAAAGAGTGTTTAGTAGAACTTAATTTGGAAAAAATATTTATTGTGGAAACCCAGGGGTTGACAGATAATGAAAACTCCCCAACCTGCAAATCAT